GGCTCGCTCGGTCGGTCGCTCAGAGCGCGTCGGCGGCGGGCGGGGGCGGTGGCATTCGCCGGGGATGCGGCGCGGGCGGTGGGGGAGGGAGGGGGGGTGCGCGTGCGGGTCTGCGGGCGAGATCCAGTACCGGTGCCGCGGCAGGGGACGCGGTGGGGTGCGTGTGTGTGTGCCCAGAGCCCAGTGGTGGTTTTGATACGACTGGTGCTAGTGCTACGAGTAGTACTACTAGTAGTAGGGGTAGCTGCGTAGGCTCGTGATGGAGGCTGGGGAACGTGGGATGGGGGAAAAGGGGAGGGGAAAGGGAGATGGATGGAATGCAATGGAAGGATTTGTTTGGCTTTGTTTTTCTCCTCTTGTGGATTTGGTATTTTGGACTTTTGGAATTTGTGGCTTTGTGAATTGTGGTGGTGAAAATGTTTTGGGTTGAGTTGAAAATGGAACGGTTTGAGCTGTTTGAATGAAAAATGCACTAGTGATTTAGAGTTTGATGGAGTCTCCACGGCGAGTTGCGTTTGTGTGAGAGTATATACCTCCAAGTTTTCGAACAAAAAGTTTTTTTTATAAAAACATTATATGTAACAAGAACACTTGATAAAATGTGTATGAATGTGACTTTTCGTGTGCTAAGAAAGAGAAAGGAAAGAGGCGAGGGGTTATCGTAGCAAGCATGCATACAAAAATATTCGGAAAAAAAACTATGCATATATATATGGTATTTTTACTTCGTGGAGGCGTGCGCCCAGCTAATTGCATTCTTTCGCATTAGCTAATCATCAAGTATCTTGGAGAAGAAGAAATGTGTGTCAGTTACCTTTTCCGCTTAGCCGAAAGTGAGGATGGCATGAGCAACAGCAGGCACCCCGAGCGGCAACCGGCGATAGCCGGCGGGAGCGAGTCCAAAACTTGACGGGTGCAAGTCGAGGGGAAGGGGGGGGGCACTGGAGTTGTTACAAGTCAAAGGGCTTAGAGGGATGGTCGAGGTGGTGGCCAGCACGAGGTTGGGGGGAGGTCGAGGGAAGGGAGACCGGGGCGCAACAGTGCCCGCCGGCCGGGAGGCAGAGGCGGATAGTTAAGGCTAGGTAGGTCGTGGGGTGGAAGACGAACCGTCACACGCGGAGGAAGAAGTACAGTTCACGCACAATGGCCATTGAATATTGATCGGACGGGCATGAGAAAAGTAACAGGCGAGGCAGCCAGCCCACCAGTGTTCGAGTCTCGGCTTGAGCATTTGGTGCTCACGGAGTTTTCTTCTATAAAAAAATTGTCAACATACTAGTCTAGCCCGGGTTAGTCTCTTTTTTAGAAAAGTGATAGATGTAGAAACAAATCAAGTACGCGCTCTCCATTTTTCTCCTTCGTCGGTGTGCGTGCAATAATCTGAAAACTACTTTTCCTATGAGAATACAAACATCGAATTTTCTGTCTGATGTTTTTTTTTGAATTTTTAACTGGGGGAGGAGGGGGGCCCCTCAACCACCTGAATATATTCCATCGAATTTGCCTAGAAGACTCGCAGCTCCATACAAGATAGGTTCAAGTGAACCAGAATAGACGGGGGAAACAAGAGGAGACACAACCAAAACACACACACACACACACGTGCACACATCCAGCCGAATCTCCGGAAGACCCACCGAGGAAAGGGTAGAAGAAGGCCTTTCAAAGATCCGAAGCCGGACGCACCAACACCACCGACCGCCATTCCAAATATCATCAGCACAACCAGCAAGGAGGAGGACCTCAACTTACACCTTCATTTGACCAAGCAAGGAGAAGAGCCTTGAACGTTGGCCGGCTGGTTGCCACCCAACAGCACCCCGCAGAGGTAGAGGTGCCATATGGGAACGAGGTGATCCATTGAGTAGGATAACGACCCCGCTAACCCGGCTTCGGATGAAAATCAGACCCATTCCGGCGCATGGCTGAGCCACGATCTCGCAGACAGAGTACCACCTCCTCACCAACAAGGCACACACCACCGTCGACCCCAAATTGGCCGCACCACCACCACCATCGAACTCACAGCGAGCATCCCCCACATAGACGAACCGAGCCGAACCTAGATGATGCCTTCAAGAAGGGATGCGACACAAAATGCGCCGCCATCACCTGTTCCAGGAGAACCTGGAACATGGGTTTCCACGGGTTTTCGGAGGAGCACTCACCATGACAGCGCCGCCTCCACGGAGGTACACGGCACCCGCAGGCGTCGCCATCGCCGGCTCCGGCAGGAGCAGAGCTTTCGCCCAAGTGAGAATACCACCTCCTAGAAGCATGGACAGGTCGTGGAGCACTGCCCCCTGCACATTGCCACAGAGAAGGGTCACTGCAGCCCAGCCGTGAAGGAAATATGCCCTAGAGGCAATAATAAAGTTATTATTTATTTCCTTATATCATGATAAATGTTTATTATTCATGCTAGAATTGTATTAACCGGAAACATAATACATGTGTGAATACATAGACAAACAGAGTGTCACTAGTATGCCTCTACTTGACTAGCTCGTTAATCAAAGATGGTTTTGTTTCCTAACCATGAACAAAGAGTTGTTATTTGATTAACGGGATCACATCATTAGGTTAATGATCTGATTGACATGACCCATTCCATTAGCTTAGCACCCGATCGTTTAGTATGTTGCTATTGCTTTCTTCATGACTTATACATGTTCATATGACTATGAGATTATGCAACTCCCGTTTGCCGGAGGAACACTTTGTGTGCTACCAAACGTCACAACGTAAATGGGTGATTATAAAGGTGCTCTACAGGTGTCTCCAAAGGTACATGTTGGGTTGGCGTATTTCGAGATTAGGATTTGTCACTCCGATTGTCAGAGAGGTATCTCTGGGCCCTCTCGGTAATGCACATTACATAAGCCTTGCAAGCATTGCAACTAATGAGTTAGTTGCGAAATGATGTATTACGGAACGAGTAAAGAGACTTGCCGGTAACGAGATTGAGCTAGGTATTGAGATACCGACGATCGAATCTCGGGCAAGTAACATACCGATGACAAAGGGAACAACGTATGTTGTTATGCGGTCTGACCGATAAAGATCTTCGTAGAATATGTAGGAGCCAATATGGGCATCCAGGTCCCGCTATTGGTTATTGACCGGAGACGTGTCTCGGTCATGTCTACATTGTTCTCGAACCGTAGGGTCCGCACGCTTAACGTTACGATGACAATTTCATTATGAGTTTATACATTTTGATGTACCGAAGTTTGTTCGGAGTCCCGGATGTGATCATGGACATGACGAGGAGTCTCGAAATGGTCGAGACATAAAGATCGATATATTGGAAGCCTATATTTGGATATCA